GTGCTTTTTGAATCCTTGGAATGATTGTTGAGCCTCTTGATTCAATCCAGAAGTGATTGATGGTAGATCTAGGGTTCTTTTGGTCCCTTTGTCCATAAAAATGCAAGATTTGAGGTTTTTATGGGCTCATGCATGTGTTAAGACCCTTTATTAAGTTGTTTTGAGCTATAGAACCCCATTAAGCCATGCATGAACGTAAAGTTGCCAACTTTACGTGATAAACCACCTTAAGGAAGTCAGATCTGAGTGTTGGGTTGAAGTCTTAACCGAATAAGAGCTTAATGATGGAATTTGGCCATACTGGGGAGTACACTGGGTGTATAAGCTGGTACGTTGCGCGTACAAACCCCAGAGCGATTACGCTAAGCGTACGAGCGGAGTACACCCCGTATACTCAGCAATGGGCTTCGGAACTTTGGGCTTTTCGGCATTGGTCCCATGTTGGACCTTAGGAGTCTAGGGCCTTGTTGGGCCATCATAATTCTATTTTTGGGCTGATGCTATTTTATTGGACTTTATTGGTTGAAGGCCCATGAAGGAATTTGGGCCCAATTTGGAAAATTGGGTCCTATTTGGGCTTTGGGTGATTATTTTGGAATTTGGGCCTTGACCTTTGGCCAAGTTGAGTAAAGGATAAAAAGGTATTTTACCCTATTTTAGACTCTTAGTGTGAGTCGGGATCCAATTATTAATTGGATGCTATTTTGTGATTGATAGCGCGGGGATAATAGTGGGCCAGCATCCAAAGATTTATCTGTGAGATTCAGCAGTCTAAGGTGAGTTTCTTCACTATGTTTAGCGGGTCGAAGGCACTAATGCCGACCCATGGTTTGTTATGTTAGGATGCTAGAGGTTTGTGTGACTCTTGCATGTATATGCATTGGTATGTATGTCGAGCATGGCTCGATGTCGGGCGAGGCCTGATGACTGTATTGTATGTTGTTATCTTCGTGATTATCGCATGTGTTAGTATGATTATGTGTTTATATGCTTATATGTGTATCAGGCGGGGTCTGGTGATTGACAGATCTGTAAACTGAGCAGGGCTCGATGCCTGGTAGGACTCAATGTCGGGTGGGGCCCGAGGGCAGGGGCCCAGTATGTGTTTATTATGTATGGTATAAGGTAATTTGGGGAACTCACTAAGCTTTATGCTTACGGTTTTCAGTTATGTTTCAAGTACTTCTGGTTCGAAAGGGAAGAGCCTGTGATGATTGCAGAGCACACACCACATTATTCTGTATTTTGTGATTTACTCTGATATGATATGATGTAGTGGCATACTCTAGTCTATCTTGGTTGTATGATAATGTTTTGAATTACTGTTCTATATAAATTAAAAATGAAATTTTTGGGTTTTATTTTTGGGACGTTGCAAGTTGGTATCAGAGCCTTGGTTTAAGGGATTCGGACATACTCTCGGGCTTCTTGTGGGTTGAAAAACCTATGTGCTCACCAGGCTCCCAAGCCTGACCCACTCAGTTTCTTGTATTACGGGTAGTGGCACAAGAGTACAGGTGTGCTGATCAGATGAGAGATCTATGGATTATAGGCCATTAGAATAATAGATGTTTGTAAGGCCTGTACTATTTCTGTTTGTGCTTATGTTTTGTATTGACGACGACATCCCAATGTTTTTAATATAATAAAAATACATTTCTGCGTAAATGCTTTGATAATGTCTTTATCATATTTTTTGGGAACAAATTCCGTATTATTATTCTTTAAAAGGATACTCTGATTTTTAAATAAAGCATAAACAAATCGGTCTTTTCAAGCCATGAAATTGGGGATGTCACAAAACTAGAGTTAAACTAAGATTTAAAAACACAATTCAACAAAAGCAATGTTTTATATAAAATCAATGAGGGAAAGTTGGTTAACTTAAGTTTTCATCACTTGAACACTTGGTAAATACATCATTAGAATCCAAGGTGCAATACTTGTCTTAAATCTCTAATTTGGCTATAGTAATACAAGAAGCTTGAGATTACCTAGACTTTTCTTAGTTGTTAAAATAGCTAGAGAAGCTCATGACATATTCCCTTAGTTAAAGTCGTAATTTCCATTAAGCATGTAATTAGTGAAAATTAACTAGCATTAAGAACCCAAAAGTCACCAAATCCAAGAGGAGTCAAAAGCTTCCACTACCATGTTAGAGAAAATGTTTTTGTGATCGTGTGAAGTGAAAACTAACACAAGAATCACTTGTTGCTTGCTAATTTGAGGATCCATTACTTAATCAATAAATTAGCCAACTAATCACTACATATACATTTAAACTCATGAATAAAAAATATAAAAGTAACAAGAAGATGTTAAAATAGAAAACACTTCCATAAAGACTCAAGAACAAGTCATGGAGTTCTTAAACATTCAACGAAGAATTTAAGTAATTCCACCAAAGTCAACCAAAGTGAGCTTAGCCTAACATAGCTAAGTTTAAACAAAATAGAAAGAGTTTAGAAATACCAAAACGTTCAACAAGAGTCTAGATGAAAATATGATGTTTTCTTCAAGTTCTTCCCCCTTCAAGAGCTCAAAAACTCCAGAGAAAAAGCTCAAAATCCGATCTAAGAATACCCAAAAGCTCCCACCAAACTACCCTCAAATAACCATAAAACTTCAAAATCCGAAAATGCCCCTGCATGAGCCATGCGACCGTGTGAGCTGCAGTGTAAAATCTCAAGCGGCCTCATGAGATGTGCTGATTGAGAATAATTTTCTTGTCTCCCTTTCCTCTTTGGTCTATTTTTGTCTTCTAGTTTTGACTTCTTTGACTGATCCAAAATGCCTAATGGAAATACCAAGTAGCCCAAAACAAGTAAATATAAGTCCAAAGACTCCATAGCCCAAATATCATCCAAAGATCCATCAATTTCTTAGCCCATAAATTCCATATTTTCTTGATCAAACCCATTTGACTCCATCTTCCAATCAACCAAGTCTAAAGTTTCTTCTATTTAATATTCAAAGTAAGCTCCAATGACATTAATCTTCAATCCAACTCTCTTTGATAAGCCCCAACAATCCCGATCATATGCTCGAACTTCGTTTGTTTTCCGAATCTCCCTCCACGCTCCGCTCCATTTCTCCAAATAGCTGCAATAAAGCTCAAAAACTAGAAAGTGCCTCATATAGATATATAATAACAAAAAGGAAAAATATACATGAAGACTAACTAAAAATAAAATAAATATATATGCTAAAATTAAACTATAAAAAAGTAAATAAAATAAAACTATCAAACCGCCATGGTTAATCAGCATCGTGAATACCCTCTGCAAAACAACAAAGAAAATTGTTATTATCTCATGCATTTTTTAACATGGTGGAACACAGAACGCTTACTATAAAGTACATTGATATCCACAACATCTTTTGAAAAATGAAAGTTCCACATCGTTGGTTCCATCATGTTTCAAAAAAGATTTACACTTTTATTAGGTGCAGAAAGTAATTATGGAGGAAGCAACCGGTAATGAAGATGGAGAATACATATAGGTTTTCTTAGATGAAGAATAATAAATATAGTTCAAGGATTTATTATGCAAATCATATGCATAATTAATCCTATTAACGGTAGCACCATGTTAGAGTGAGAGACAAGGGTACATAAAAAGACCGAAATGCCCTCATGTAAGGGGCACATGAATGGTATTTAACATATTTAAGTACACAATAACATGTCTAGGGACCAAAGCTACAACTTTTGCAACCATGAGAACCACTGGTGTCAAATTTTCAAAACTAAGACTAAAAGTCTGTAGAGCCTAGTCCACAAAAAAAAAGCCATATGCGAACTAGATGGTTATTTTGGAAAATTTTGTTTTTCCGCTATTTTTTGACGGGATAATGACTTAATAGGGTAACATATTTTTCGATTTATACACATTTAGCCACTGAGTTTTTTTTGTCCACTTATTCCCGTTGAACTTGTTGAACTATTCAAAAAACATTCTTATGACCTGCTATAGGAGGTTTAGCCAGTTTTCGACGTTCTTGTGAGCTCCGGCGAGACTTCGGTCATCTTCTCCGGTGAGTCTCCAACGTTCATGATTTTTCCGGCGAACTCAAGAACTTCGGTCTATTCTCTCCTTCTGGTTCTTCTCTTTTCTCATGAAAGAACTCCAAAACATACATCAAATTTGTGATGAACACATACTTTCATACACATATGATCATTGTTTACCATCTGAAACACACAAAGATTAACACACACATCATATATCTTCTAGATTCAAGAACACACACATAACTCAAATTCGAAAACACATACACACATTCATGAAATCGAATCTTAAATGAAGTTCAAACAAGAAATCGAGCTCTATGATTTTTGGGTTTCTGGTGAAAGAACTTGATTTGGTTTTCATGTTTCAGATTAAGAACACACACACACACACACACGAAGTCGTGCTTATTCATATATGAGTTTTCACATCTGTCATGGATCATCATGATTTACATACCGTGTTCTTGAAATCAAAGTTTGTTGCATCGTGTTTTGAAATTAGAGTGTGTTCCTTCTGGAAAATGGATATGGGTTTTTCCTCGAAAAACAATGAGTTTTTTCTTTTTGTAAAATGGATTACAGATCTGCCATGAATGTGTTCTTCAAAACTTGATTTATGACTAGCTTGACTCTAAAACTCATTTTCTAGGTTGAAGTGGTTGAAGGATTTCTGGGTTGAAGTTGTTGAAGGATTTTGGGTTGAAGAATTTTTGGGCCGCCAGAGAATATGAACGGAGCCTCGCCGGAACTCATATGAACGTTGAAAACCGGCTAAACCTTTGATAGCATGTCATAAGGATGTTTTTTGAACGTTTCAACAAGTTCAATGAGAAAATATGAAAAAAAAAAATTCAATGACTAAATATATATTAATCAAAAAATATATCCTTTTTCTAATAATAAGAATTATGAAAAGGTTATTTTTTGAAATAGTGAAAAGTTAAAATGATTTTATACCAATTTTCCTTTACAAAACGGCAAATATCAATCCCTTATTTGCAGAACTGAGAGCATCGTTGTGTACTTGTGTGAGTGTGTGTATATCCAAAACTACACAGACCCTGCAAAATCCGTTTGATAATTGAATCCCTCGCAGCTCATCTTCTCAAATTCATCTACCAACAATGAACAATGGAGTACTCTTAAAACCGAATACTCTGTTCCAAATCCCCATCTCACCCAATTCCCTTCTTCTTCATTCCAACAAAACCCACCATTCTTTGTTCTCAATTCAACTTCCCAAACACAACTTACTCTCATTTCATGTCAAATTATCATCCGGATTTCCTGTTTTTGCCTCAAAAACCTCAATAAAAGTCGAAACTAGCATTCCTGAAGCGGAGAATTCCGATTTCGAAGATGAATTTGATGAGGAATTCGAAGAAGACGACGAAGATGAAGTGGAAGACGAAGATGAAGAGATTTTTGTTCCGTTGAAGAACATGAGGCAATGGACTCGGAATAAACCACAAGGGTTTGGTGAAGGGAAAGAATACGATACAAGCGTTGAAAATAAATTACTCGAAGAATTGGAGCAGAGTAGGGTTGCTCAGCTTGCAAATGTCACTAACCTCAAGAAAAACCCCGAAGATGGAAACCCTAATTCTAAAAAAGAAAAACTTCTGAAACAGAAAGGTTATTATTCTTACTTGCTCGTGACTCTCCTCTCCCTCAAATCCCATAATTGCATAAAAACATAATCCCTTCATTGCAGGATATGCTTTTGACTTTAATAGTCAAAATGATTAGTCAAAAAGATTGAATTCTTATAGTATATTCAATTTTGATTTTCGTATCTTCTTTTCCAGTTCCTGAAGACATTCCAAATGGAACCCGTGTGCGATTGATTAATCTTCCAAAGAAAAAGAACATTCATAGAGATTTACAAGCAGCTTTTAAACCGTTTTCTGGAATCATAAACATAATTCCAGCTGTTTTGGGGAACGAAAAGACCAGGGAACCTGTTTGCAAAGGCTTTGCTTTTGTTGATTTCAAGTCAGAGAAAGAGGCCAATAGGTACTTTACTTACAATAAAATCAACGAATTTCAGTAATCTTGAAATAAAAAACCAGTGATTTTGACCTCAAATGTCAAACTTTTGAATCCTTTTGGACTTTTGACAGATTTGTGGACATGTTTTCAACTGAGCCCATTACTTTTGGGAAGGTTCAGAAGCAAATCAGATGTGAGATAATGAAATCAAGCTCTCCAAATCCACCTTCCATTAAAGCACCTGTTCATGGAACAAAAAACTCTCTTCCAATTACAAATCCCAGTGCCCTACTCCCCTCTTCAAATCCTGTGACTGAAACACTATTGGATTCATACGTGGAGGATGCTGCTTTTGATACGTTCAAGAACATTGATGAAAATGATGATGAATTTGTGAAATTTGATAATGTGATTCAAGAAAAAGAAAAGGATGAACCTGAGATGGTTTCAGAGCCATTGAAGAAAGTTGGAGAAAAGGGGAAGAAGAAGAAGAAGATGAAGACAGTTAAAAAGAAAGTAGAGAGTATAACAAAACAGAATATTCCTGGATCTGCAAACAGGTTGAAGATGAAGGAGAAGGCTTTGCTTTCTGGTGTTTTCTCAAAATATGGTGGCAAATCTGCTATGGTTGCTAAAGGAACAGAGGTTGAGTGATAGAGAGCCAGAGATTTTGTTGTTTTTGTAATTTTTTGTTTAGAAGAATGAGACCAAGTGTTTTTGTAGTTAGAGTTATTAGTTTTTGATCTTCCATGTTTATGTTTCACGGTTTTACCTCAAAGTTTATATATTTATATTTTTAATCATCGGTTAAAAGAAAGGTTTATGTCATAAAATGACAACCAACAACACTCATGATGTTTAAGTTGGCAGAAAAAAAAAGTACTTTAGCCTAAGGCTGTGTTTGGCGCCACAACTACATTATTTTTCGAGTTTTTTTTATGTTGTTATGTTTGGCAAACCAAAAATTAGCTTATAAGCTAGCTTTTTGAAAAGCTATTTAGACTAGCTTTTTAAGAATTTTTTTTAAAATTTCCAAATATAGCCTTTAATTAATTATAGAAACACATACTCTTAAATGTTTTTATGTAATTTTATATATTTCAGCTAGTTTACCAAACGTCATTTTTATCAGTTAGCTTTTCAGCTATCAGCTAGCTTTTTATTTAACTAGTTTTTCAGCTATCAGCTAGTTTTTTTTCAACTAACAATAGTTTTTCAGCTAGTACACCAAACATAACCTAAGTGAACAAAATGTGTCATGTGGATGTCAAAGTAGATGTCATGTAGGATTTAAAACAAGTATATTCGGTTGAAATTCATCGCAATGGATAATGAGAACCCAAAAGAAATTTATTGGCATATTAAGTATAATCAAAATACGAAGCGACTCAAAAAAACCAAAGTTGGATGCATTGGAAGTGAAGAAAGAGTGTTTGATATCGATAGATGCCATGAGAGTTGTTGGAATTGGAATAGGGAAATTCGAGGTGGTGTCACTGCTAAGCAACTCTAGCCTCTTTCTAGTTGGGTGTTGATAACACTACAAGAAAAACGCAATTTTGCTACGGAAGGAATCCGTTGCGAAAAGCTGAAATTCCGTTGCAAAAGACGAATACCGACGGAATTTGCAACGACCTATTTCCGTCCCTAAAAACGTCGTAGCGAGGAGTTTGCAACGGAAACGATAATTCCATCGCAATTGTGATAACGGAATGAAATCCATGGTAGATGGTATTCCGTCGTGTATTCCGTAGTAGGTTTCCATCACAAATTCCTGATGAAGTGATGAATCGAGAATGTAACAAATCAGAGTAACAAAAATGTAATTTGAACACACGATGTAAATATGATCTTGTTTCAGCTCTATTATGCTTTCAAATGTTACAGAGAGAAAATAGACAAGTTCGTACAAGACTCTTATCTAACTCTAAGTAATGTCCCTATTTATAGGAAACATGAAAGCACACAAAAATTTACAAGGACTAAAACAGTACGCTTCGTTAGAAAAATGCCTTGTAAAATAATCTTAAGTTTTCAACATATTACAACAGGTCTTCGACCCTTACAATCTCCCCCCCTTTGTAATAATGTCGACCTTCTTCAGTTCGTGAGAATCTGTATGGCATACAACATCACCCTTCGAATTTCTATGTACCAAGAAATAATCTTCTTCAACTCCTTCTTATCCCCATATTATTTTTCGAACAATTATTCATACGAACAATAAAGTTCGTATACTGGGACGTAGTGTATCTCTCTATTTCGTTAGTCTGGAACAAAAATCTTTTAGCCTTCCCATTTTTGTCCTTTCCTGCGAAGACCATTCCAAATGGCTTTAAGCAGATCTCCCCATCTGCAAACTTCTTCAACTCAGCTTGAGTCTTTGGAAGTTCCATCGGAACTTTCACTTCCAACCCCTTCGCAGTAGTTGACTCCACATCAGTTAGAGTCAAACACTCATAGTAATTGTCTATGAATATCTTGATGTGAGCAAGTCCAAGACGAAAAACTTCTGGATCAGTTTCTCGAAGATACGAAGCATCTTTATCTTTCAAAAAGCAATGCAACTTGTATAAGATCATACAAGTTCATCAGAGGAAAATCTGCCACAGAGAAATCGCACATTTGACCATTTGCCCTTGTAACATAGAAGCGAAAAATTCTGCATCATGTTCTTGAACAAACCATCCTTCTTAATGCTGATCACCTTCTTTATCTTTATCAAAGACCAAATCTCCTCTGGAAGTTTCCTAAGTACAACATGAAACCTAAGTTTCATATACGTTTATTCATTATCATTATCAAACTTCTCAGAAATCTTGTATTGAGCAAAACATCTCATTCACAGGGAAATCCAGTTGATTCATGTCAGAATTAGCAACAACATAGCTTTGCTTCGGCTGCTTCAGAAATGCATACATATGATTATATGAAACTTTTGCTTTAGAAATGCATACACATGATCAGGATGCAATTTATTTACGAAACCTGGAGGTTGTGCAACGTAAATAGTTTCTTCGAGTTCACCATTGAGAAAAGCACATTTCACATCCATTTGATAGACATTGAAATCCTTGTGAGCTGCATAAGCTAAAAATATTTGAACAGCCTCGAGTCTTGCGACAGGGGCAAAGGTTTCTTCATAATCGATACCTTCTTGTTGCGAATATCCTTTTATGACCAATCGTGCTTTATTTCGTACAATATTTCCATCTTTTTCGGTTTTGTTTTTGAAAATCCATTTTAACCCGACAATCGAAACATTTTCAGGTTTAGGAATTAATCTCCAAACCTTGTTTCTTTCGAATTCAGCCAGTTCAGATTGCATTGCAACAACCCAATCTGAGTGTTCTATTGCAACCTTAACTGTCTTTGGTTCAATTTTCGATATGAAAACATTGAACATGCAAAATTCTTGATGAGTATTTAATACCTCATTCTTTGCACGAATCTGAGCTCTTGTTAATACTCCATCTTGAGGATTCCCAATGACTTGATCTTTCGGATGAGTCTTTGTCCATTTCTCTAATGGTGGATATGTCGGATCAAATTCCAAAGGTGCATCAACGTACATCTCTTCATTTTCAGATCCTGCAACAGAAAGATTATCATTTATTTCGTGAAATTCATCATTTTGATCAAGACTTATCATCTCATCATTATTATGTCTACTTTCGACAGAATTATCATTCTGATGCTCCCCCTCAACAAGATGCTCCCCCTCAATATCTTCAACCATTCTCCCATTCTCCCCCTCGAAAGAATGCTCCCCCTCAACCAGAGTATTCGAATCCAAGTGCTCCCCCTCCACTGGATTATTACGCATACTTTCGCCAACTTCTGGAGAATTCGTTGTTGAAATCCTATCAACAATAGTTTGAGTAGGTTCGGCGTCATCAATATGCTTCGAAGATTCAGATTGTTGGTTATCATTCGCACGAACTTCAGCATCCACAGCCCTGTCAGGAACACCGAAAATTAAATCATAATCAAAATCAGATGAACTCACAACTTCAGATTCATTTGTTGATTCATTAATAATAGGCTTTTGTTTGAATTGTTTTTCAACTTGTTTGACATAATAGTCATCAAAAGTAAGATTAAATGTCTCTTCGACTTTCCGTGTGCGCTTATTCAACACTCTGTATGCCACCGAGTTGTGCGAATATCCCAAAAATATTCCTTCGTCAGCCTTCGCTTGAAATTTCGAAAGATTATCCTTGAGATTCATGATAAAGCACCTACATCCAAACACATGAAAGAATTTAACATTTGGTTTTCGGTTATTGATAATTTCATACGGAGTGATGTTAAAACGTCGATGAATAAGAGAATGATTCTGAGTAAAACATGTTGTTGACACCGCTTCGGCCCATAGATATTGAGGAAGATTCGCATATGTTAACATTGTTCTGGCTGCTTCACAAAGTGATCTATTTCTTCGTTCAACTACACCATTTTGTTGTGGTGTATATGGAGACGAAAAGTTATGTGAAATGCCTTTCTCAATTAAGTACGAATCCAACATATTGTTTTTAAACTCAGAGCCATTATCACTTTTGATTTTCGAACATTCTTTTTCAAACTCATCTCAATTTTCTTGATAAAATCAATCATTGTTTGAGCGACTTCAGATTTTAACCTGAGAAAATACACCCAAGTGAATCAAGAAAAATCATCAACAATAACCAAAATGTACCGTTTCTTGTTGAGAGTTTCAATGGTTGATGGTCCACAAAGGTCAATATGAAGAAGTTCCAATGGTTCCACAATTTTCGAATCTATCACAATTGGATGTCCTTTCCTATGCTGTTTCCCTTGTTCGCAAGCTGCACATAAGGTATCATTGTCAAATTTTAAAACCGGTAAGCCTCGAACAAGATCATCAAGTACAAACTTATTTAAATTGCGAAAATTTAAATGTGATAAATGACGATGCCATAACCAGCTAACATTAGATGTGGCTTTCGAAAGTAAACAAACTGAAGGTTTCCCAAAAACCGGCTTTAGATCAAGAGTAAACATACTGCCATAACGTTTCGACTTCAGCAACACTTCGTTCGTTTCAACTTTTGAGATAATACTTCCTTCTTCATTAAACACAACTTGATTGCCAGTGCCCACAACGAGTTGTGAAACACTTATCAAATTATGTTTCATACCTTCGACATAAGCAACGCGATTTACAGTAAACTGTCCATTCGTTACTTTCCCATAGCCTTTCACTTGACATTTATGATTGTTTCCAAACTTCACAACACCTGCATTTTCCAAGCTTCGAAAATCTCTCAAATTTTCCTTTCATCCAGTCATGTGACGTGAGCACCCACTATCGATATACCATTTCTCATCATATTGCTCGTCACATAGCACCTGCGATCAATGAAAGAATTTAGGTACCCAAGGTTGTATGGGTCCTTGGAAATTAGCTTTAAAAACAGAATGAAATGCAGAACTTTTAACCCAATCACAAACTTTAGTTTTGGGACTATCAATTAAGTCCACATCACTATGTAAAGGAACAGAAACATAAGTTTTTGTTAGTTTGGGATTGTCACTGACATATGTCTTCGTCTTTTTAGATTGTGTATGAATAGGCTTGTCTTTCGAAACCGGTTGCCAAGTCTTTACCGAAATATTCGAATCTTTTGAAGATGAACTTTCAGTAGACGAGGTATTCACATACTTCTCATAAGCTTCTTGAATTTGTTGTTGAGAGTATTTCCTTGATTGATACATTCGTCCTTTTCCTTCAAGCCAATGATCAATGTTTTTGTCACGAGACAACCCTTTTGTGTACGA